GGGGACATTTTAAACTAGACAACTATTTTTAACAACAATTTTTGGAAAATAAGAGATTTTCCTTAATGAATACAAGAATGCTTCCTAATATTTGTCCAAAATAAAGCATCTCAGAAAGCTGCATATATTAGATGTATATGATGCTGTCTATGTAGGCAGTACATGCTCACAAAGTCAGTGTGAAAAAGAAAGTGTCTGTTGTGTAGCTAAGCTAACACACACTCCTGCCTTTCTGTACAAATAACAAAAGTGTAAACATTAAAAACTCATGAACATGAGCCTGTATGAGTCATAATGAGCATTGATGTTCAGTGATTTGTTGTGATTTCTGTGTGATTCTTGTACGTTTTTCTGTAAAGCAAATCGATTATGAACTGAGTAGCCACTGAGTAGGAAGCACAGAGCAGGCTGAAGCGATGCCAGCAGGTGCAATTTGGATGGAGAGATTTTCAGACAATAAATGTGTTTTCAACCACTCTCACCCACAAGCAACACATACACAGCTATACAGTATATGAATGTAAACATAATAAAAATCAAGCACGTCTGTAGTTGTTGTAATCCCAACACCGGTGTCCTGGATACAACTGATTTGGCCTGTATTTGTAATGAGCAAACTTGAAACATGTCAACATACACACGCTCACACACACACACACAAAATGTAAGAGTTGTACAAACATACAGGGGTGGAAAGGGGCTGTGGCCCAGAGAACCACTGCAGCTTCTGGGTGGCAGTCTAAGGTTCTGTCCTTTGGTTCTGGGCTCTTATTGGCCATCCTAAACAATTCTTTATGACATCACTTCCCCAAATAATACAGAAATCCCACCCACTTCATTGTTTTTCAGCTCACTACAGCAAAAATACAAAAACACTTTAGTCAGTCAGATGAATTGATGACTGCTTTTTAAAAGAATAGTTCACCCAAAAATGAAAAATTGCTGAGAATGTACTCACTCTCTAGGCCAGAAGCGACAGTTTAAAGTTAAATTTTTGGGATGGATTTGTTTGTTACAAACACACAGATTTTCACAAGAAATTAATTGATGGACTGGAGTCATGTGGATTACTTTTGGATTATTGTGATGTTTTTATCAGCTGTTTGGACTATCATTCTGACGGCACCCATTCACTGCAGAGGATCCATTGGTGAGCAAGTGACTCATCTACATCTAACTAACTTTTGCCCAAACTTTCTCTACTGCTCCCTGAAATGCAAAAAACTCTCCTCACTATGTTAAATGAATCTGTTTGTACTGATCCATTCTCAGTCTTTTCTGGACCGAAGGCCAGTAAACATTACGAACCACATTAAAGGACCCAATAAAACATACTCAGAATTAACCACCGACATCACTGACACTTCAGACACTGTTTAGATGCGCACTTCAGGAGCTCCTGGTTAAATGGTCATGTGACTCCATATAGAGGGATTAAAACATACTCAGAATTCACCACCGACATCACTGACACTTCAGACACTGTTTAGATGCGCACTTAAGGAGTTCCTGGTTAAATGGTCATGTGACTCCATATAGAGGGATTCTCTAGGGTAAAGTGGGGGTGGGAGATTGCTTCAGGGGTGCTTTATGTTTGTTCAACGACACTGAAAGACTGAAATTCAAACAGATAAAAAAAAAAAAACTATAATAGCAGATGCAGTGCGCTCTCATCCATGGTGTTATCAGAAAATACACTAGTTATTCGATTTGATGAATGTTCAATTGCAAAAAAGGCCTAATTTTCCCTCTGTAGGGAAGTCATTTTCCCTCTGTTCCCTCAGTTTTTTTTTGCATTCTGTTCTCCTGCAACCCTCTGAAGCCTCTGTGATTCTCGAAATAACAACACTTGGCAAGGAAATACACAAAAGTACAGAAAAAATATGGAAGCAGATTATATCCATACAGGAATATCAGGGAGTAAATGCAGTGTTCAGCCATTGTTCATATTCATCTCTCTTCTCCGTTTGTCTACTCAGCGTTTGGTGTTTCCAAGCCACTCTCCCTAGCTGGGACTTTGGCCTGACGGTAAAAGCTGTAAGCTCTGTGAGTTCTTACCAAACTAAACAAGGAAAAAAATAAATAATAATAACTTTATGGGTCCTTCAAATGTCACTCAATAACAGATTTCATGTATAGTCATATATTTTCATTTTTTTGTTGAAATATTATTTCTAATCCTGGAAGCAGATTTGAAAATAGTCCTTTGAATCCTTTAATTCTTTTTGTAATTTTTTATGCATTTTTTTTCCCAAAATACTTCATTAGAAAAAAGTCATTCTCAGTAGGTGTTGAGGAAAATATAGACTGTGAAAAGCTCAGACTCCAGGTTAAGACTGTCCCACCCCTTAGAGAAATGTTTCACACTCTTCATCTTCAGCGTGAAGGCATCTGAAGAACGAATGTCCCTTTTTAAAGCTCAAATCCATGCCTGCTTAAAACCGTAGCGACCTTTTTGAATTAGCTCTTACTTACGGCTTGAAGTTTCCTCCCATATATCTCTTTCCAACCCCCACCCCTTCCCACCCCATCTCTTCTCTTCAGAAGCCCTGTATATGACAGTAAGCCTCAAGACTGGAGAAAAGGATATAGAGAAACCAGAGACCGAAGAAAAAGAGCGTTGTGAAGATGCGCTGTGTGCGCGGGCCGCCCAGCTCTCCACCGATATGAGGCCTGCGCCGGTACAGCAGGACACTCACCGCCAGGAAGGCAAAGATGGTGAAGAGAGTGACAGAAAATGCCAGGGAACCTGCTGGCACCTCGAACGCACGACCCTGCATGTGCCAGTAGATGGCGGCCACTGACCACGCCACACCGATTCCCAAGAAAACGTTCACAGCATTACTACCGGTCACGTTACCGATAGACGCGTCTGCGTAACTGTCCTGCACCGCTGCAACTTTACTGGCAAAGGTATCTGAGGAGAAAAGAGAGATGTGATGTAGACGCTTTCATAAAATAGTGTAATAATCTATGATTAACAAGCAATAAAAGGATGCAAATCAGGAGGAATCAGATTTGTACTGATTTTATGAGCTAAAATAGTTAATTGTATGATAAAAACATAGTGTAACTGTCAAAACTTCCTCCGAATCCAAAAAGAGCATTTATTGAAACTTAGCAGCAAAACTGACTTGTGAACCCTCACAGTTTTTTGATGTCAGACAGATTGGCCTCATTAAATTCAAGAGACAGAGAGAGGGTTGAAATGGTCCTACAAAACCAAATTATGATTGATTTTGGCAGAAACTATTTTATTAATTATATGTGGACCTCGGAGAAAACACTATACACTACTGTTCAGTAGTTTGGGGTCAGTAAGATATGTTAATGTTTTTGGACGAAGTCTCTTATACTCACCAAGGCTGCATTTATTTGATCAAAAACACAGTAAAAACATAAATATTGTGAAATAATATTACAATTTAAAATAATTCCTTTCTAGTTAAAAATGTAATTTATTACTGTCATGGCAAAGCAGCAGTGTCACATGATCCTTCAGAAATCATTCTAATATGCTGATTTGATGCTCAAGAAACATTTCCTTTTTTTTTGTAATAATGTTGAAAAGAGTTGTGCTGCTTAATATTGTTGTGGAAACTGTGATAGAGTTTTATTTTTCCAGGATTCTTTGATGATTAGAAAGTTTAAAAGAACAGCATTCATTTGAAATAGAAATCCTGTGACATTATAAATATCTTTACCTTTCGGTCAATTTAATGCGACTGCTGAATAATAAGTGACCATAAATGTATGTAGGCAAATAAAAGCATACACAAACTCACCAGGGATAGATGTTCCCAGGGCTACGAACACCACAGCAGTGACTGAGTCCTTTAGGCCAATGGTGCAGCCAAAGTGACTAGCCAGGTCACCGATCACAGCAGTCAAAAGACCGATGACCACTATGGAAACAATGAAACATGCCCACCCGTTCCAGTATTCCGTGGGTGGGACACAGGCGAACAGAACCTTCCAGAACACAGTCAGGAAGTGCATGACATAGTCAAAACAAGATGGCAGACGTTCCTCTCCCCCTTCATCCTCATCCTCATCTCCTGAGATAAAGACAGGAAGACAGAAAGAAAGAAAACAAGCAAGAAAGAAAGGAAAGCAGAATGGGAGTAGAAAAAATAAGAAAATGAAAAATGTTAGTATTGTGGTATCACCCACATTACACAACTTCCATTCCTGAGCAAAGCTATCTATTTGACACCATGGTGATTTAGGGGTCCTGTTGCCTTGGTAACCCCGGCTGTTTGATAGTCACGGAAATTGAAGGCTACACACTGTGAGAGCAGCATTTTTATTTCAACACAGAGTCATAAAAGACTAATATGTGGGACATTTCCATTTTAATTTTGGGGAAAATCTATAGGAATTAATTTAAACAAAGTGAAACGTATCACACAGAGCTGATAATACTCCATTCTTATTGATATCTGAAATGATCAAATTAGTCAAAATGTTTAGAACACACAACGGTTGTAGGATGAGGAGAACCGTGTAGGAGATCTGTGGGCTCAGTTTTCATGTGGGCCGAGTAATATGTCACAACAGAAATAGAAAATGTTGTGTGTAATATGAACATGAGAGTATGTTTATATAATAACTGAGTTTTGTTGCTTTTAGTACGGTTCTGTGAGTTTTGAGATGATCTACACTACCGTTCATATGTTTGAGGTAGCTAGGACTTTTTCAAAGAATTTTGGTATGATCACTAAAGCTGCATTTATTTGATCAAAAATCAATTAAAATAGTAATATTGTTAGATATTATAAAGAATTTATAATAACTTTTCTATTTGAATATATTTTCAAATGTAATTATTGTGATGCAAAGCCGAATTTTCAGCATCATTACTCCAGTCTTCAGTGTCACATGATCCTTCAGAAATCAATCTAATATGCTGATTTGCTGCTGAAGAAACATTTCTTATTATTATCATATTGAAAACAATTCCTTAATTTGTTTTTGTGGAAACCATGAAACACTTTTTCCAGGATTCTTAGATGAATATAAAGTTCAAAAGAAGAGAATTAATTTGCAGTAGAAATCTTTTTTAACATTATAAATGCCTTTATTAACACTTTTAATCAGTTCAATACATCCTTGTTGAATAAAAGTATAATTGCTGAATAAAAGCAAAACGTTTGAACAATACTTTTTGTGTTTGACTGCTTATTGTTCAGTGTTGATTAGTGTTGGTAATCACCTGCGCTGACAGTTATGGCCTCCATGAATTGTTCTCTCCAGGAATTTGTGCCCACAACCAGAGCCAAGTTAGTCTTCTTAATTAGCTTATCTACTGTACTCTACAGCAAGAACACAAAAACACAAAATGTATCACATTGACATAAATACGCATTAAGAAAATTCTTCCATAATGCGAAAGACTGCTAGTCTCTGGCATTGTGTGTGTGTGTACCTTAAACTCATACGACTCTTCAATGATAATCTCTATTTTCGCATGCTCGCCCAACACAGGCTTCCCCATCTCTGCTATTCTTCTTGCTTGCTCCTCTTCTGATGACAACTTCCTGTCTGGAATATCTACAATAAAGAGACAAAAGGAAACTTCCGTGTTGGATTGTGTCGTATTAGTACATCAAATGCACACAACTCGGTTGCAAATACTGATCACTCACATGCATCAATCAGCATCTGTCCCTACACTCATGAACAAGTGGGCTTTTTGTCCCTTTTAAAGGACTTTGTGATTTATGCACTTGCAATAATTCTTTTGAATAATTATTAAGATGTGATCACTATAAACTGCACTTCAAACTAAACTTCATGTGCATATTTAGAGTTAACTGGGCTCATTCATGAAACACAAGCACAGCGAATTCATGTAAAATGTTCATAAAGTCATTCTTATGTAACTTGTCGCATTGAATCGAATGTGACTACTTACGTAACACCGTTTTTACAAACAATTTTGTACAGAAATTCATGAATGAGGCCAACTGTCATTATAGTTTTCCTTATTAGAAAGATTACACTTGCAAACACACACAACAGATTAACAGCCAAACTTTGACTGAACCAAGTGTGAGTTGTGCTATAGAACAGAGTGATTCAGAAGGACAACAGCACAACATCCACATGCACGTCACAAATACACACCAAAAAGCCTGAAAATTGAGATGAACTTTCAAAACCCCCTGCAACCCAAAGCTTATCTTCTCGTGCATGTGTTACAACACACACAAACCTGGAGACACACGTGTGTTCATCCAGAGAGTGAGGCAGACGAGACCACAATTACTGCAGATGGTCTCATCTTACCTCACACATACACACACACACACACACACACTCAAACTTACCATCAGCTAATAACAGAGCTGTGTGTGGAGAAAAAAAGAGAGGGAGGAGTGGAATGACATGAAGAAAACACTAGACAGATAATGGTGAAGGGAAATGCAATGAGATATTGGACAGGATTTATTTAATCTGATAAACATGAATAAAAATATTCGCAGCCTTCAGCGTTTCATCACCCTGCCCGGAATCTCTGAGCCGGACAGGTGCGACAGGTGTGACCAAGCAGATGTGATCAGATGTGATAGTGTGGGCCGATCCAGAGCGCCGGAGCAGGTGGTTGCCCCTGGCAACGGGAGTGTCGTAGTAGCGTTTGAGACGAAGCGAGAGAACAAAGAGGTGCTAAAACTACGCCGATTATTCACACACGTTTGCTTTCCTGTCGTGATGCATTTTTTCCATTGACTTCAATTGCTTCTATGTTGAGATAATGATATTGTCCATCCACTAACCCTCAAAAAAACTTTTTTGCATTTTAGAATTTTATATTTAAATTGAAAAAAATATTTGGTAACCCTTAAAGGGATATTTCATCCCCAAAAATGTCAATTCTTTATTTATTTATTCACACTTATGCTGTTCCAAACGTGTAAGACATTCTTTTTTTCCCCCTGTGGAACACAAAAGAATATTATCAAATATTTATAAAATATTAAAATATTTTAAAAACTTTTTTTTGTCTAAACAATGAAAGTCATGTCATGTCAAAGTGATAGTCATGGTTTTGGATCCTATTTAAATTATATGACCAAAAAAAAGTATAATCACTACAAAAATGCCTATGGAGTTTTAAGATTTTATTATTTTACACAACTTTTCCAGGTATATAAAATGAGCATTCCTTAAATATCTAGGTTTTTAAGACAGTGGGAGCCCTGGTTCTTCAAAGAAAAGACAGCTTGGGGGTGAATTACAATAAGAATTAAAGCTGCAAGCAGCGATGAACGGGCCCTCGCACCCGGGCTCACCGCCAGCGGGCGGCTTTAGTAAAACAGTCAACGGCGAGCAATATGGATTTAAAGTGGTCAATATAGGAGGAATATGTCAAAGTCATTTATATGTGGCAATCTTCCTGCTGCCAGCTGGTGGCGCTATGACTGTAATCGAATATGAGTATGTAGATGTCTTCAGGCCAGGACTCTAATCAAACATGTGAAGTTTGAGGCAGATTGGACATTGTATGCATGAGTTACAACAACTTCCTGTTTGATGGTGTTAATAGCATGCTTTAGCACTTAGCTAAGTGTTGCTAGCATGTTTGAGCATATTTCTAGCATGTTTAGCACACAAAGCCATATTTTTACTGTGTTGCTAATAGTGCATCACAGTGTTAAACATGTCACTTCCTTTTGCCAATAGGTGGCGCTATAATTGTAACCAAATATAAGCATGTAGATGTCTTCAGGCCAGGACTCTAATCAAACATGTGAAGTTTGAGGCAGATTGGACACTGCATGCTTGAGTTACATCAACTTCCTCTTTCACTGCATTAAAGTTTCATGAGTTTTGGAGAATGTTTAGGCCCTCAAAAATGCGATTCACTTTGGAGAAGAAGAAGAAGAAGAAGAAGAAGAAGAAGAATAATAAGAAACGGAGCAATTCCAATAGGGTCCTCACACCATCGGTGCTCGGGCCCTAAATATCTTGACTTTAATATAAGCATATTTTATTGCTAGTTTTGTCTTATTTTAGGGAATCTTAAGGTCCCCTGGATGTTTATTGAGAACCAATGGACTAAATAATGAGAATTTTTATTTTTGGGTAAATTGTCCTTATAACAATAAGGTTCAATTGGTTTAGTACATCAGGTTTCCTGAATTAACAAAAAAAATATATTTTTTTTTACATTTATTAAAGGGGTCATATGATGCGATTTCAAGTTTTCCTTTCTCTTTGGAGTGTTACAAGCTGATTGTGCATAGATAAGATCCCTGAAGTTGCAGTACCCAGACCCACACACATTTACAGAAAAATGAGCACCAACTAAAGGAATCAATTTCTTTGTCTCTCTATTATTTTTTTCTCTCTTTCTCTCTCTGTGTAATGACTTTAATAGTTCTGTAATCAGTGCTGTAATTTTCTGTTGCTGAGGATGAATGAGATGGTGAACAAACAAGCTTTGATTAAGTGTATGTGTGTGTGCTGAGATGAAAATATCGACCTATAATGAGAAGCTGGATGTGTAAATAAGCCCATAATTTATGCTCGAATGTGTCTGCGAGTAGGGTTGGGGGTGGAGGGGGGATGTGTCTTGATGCACATTATTAACCTGCAATTTGTGTAGCGTCATCAGCTCTAGGCTTTTCAACACATCTGCTTCATGATAACACACATAGACGTGGCGAACGCACAAAGGAATTCATTTAATCTATTCGCCACATTTCCTCTCTCACTGTTCTTTCCTGGAAGCTTCGACTCAACAGTTCAGTGTAAATCTATTGCACATCAGCGCTAGCAACAGCTGATGGTACCCTGGCAACAGATCCCAGACGGCTCTCTCCTCCCTGCGTTCTGTGAGGCTATGGGATCGTGGGATGTAGGTGTCGATATTCAGTTGAAAACTCCCGTCGTTGGCTCATTCACAGCTATTCCATCATCACACACATGTGAATGCAGAGATCTCTTCCTCTAACAAACACACAGACACTTACACAGAGTGAGGTGATATTTTGGTGAGCTGTTAGCAATTCTGTGATAAAATGATTCACTTCTGATGATCTTCTCATTAAACACACTCATCTGGGACATGTGGAAGGGGTGTTGCAGGCTCCACGGGAAATTAATCGCACACAGATGCAGTGCAACGGTTAGTCTGCTGGAGCTCTCCTGTCTGTCTCTCTGTCCTCAGTTGTATCACCCCTCTCCTACTTTTCTCATGTGTCTTTCACTCTGTTCTTTCTGTCATTCTCTCCTCACCTGTCTCACCCCTTTCCTGTATGTCTTTCTTCACCTGTCTCACCCCTCTCTGCTTATTTGTCTCACACCTCTTCTGCTTGTCCTTTTCTCGTCATCTTTCTCACCATCTCCTGTCTGTCTCTCACTGTCTTTCTTTACCACCTACCAAACAAAGCCTCGGTGTTAATGCCGTATGAATGTCTGACAAAAATGTTAGGAAACAATAGTTTTTCAAATGTTTTTTCAATAACAAAGATGAAATGAAAAATGAGGATCATGAAGAACCATTTGAATTAAAACACACTATTGAGGAAAACATGATGTGAAAAAAAAATACTGCAAGATATTAATATACTAACAATGTTTTTAAAGAAAATATGGAAAGAAATATGAAGAATATGACTGTCAAATGAGCTAATCACAGACAACAATGTGAAAATGAAAAGGAATCTATAGTTTTTTTTTACATGTTTTTGTTAAAATGCCAATACACGCTTAAATATAAAATTGTAATATTTTTGCATGCTTTTTCCACAAATTTTGCACTTAATTTTTTCAACCACTAAATTAAGTCAAATGGACTAAAATCAATAAATATGACTACTTTTAATGATTTTTTGTCAAAAGAATAATATTTTTACATTTTTTAAATATTTTAAATATATTTAAAAATTTAAACATTTCCTGTCTTTTTTCATAATATTTTTTGTCAAAAGAACAAAGTATTAAAAAACAGTGTAAAATGAACAATGTTGACCCCCTCTCTTTCCTGTTTTTCTCTGCTCACCATTTCCTGTCTTTTTTTCATTGCTCACCTGTCTCTCTCTAATTTTCTCCTGTCTCACAGCTTTCCTGCCTGTCTTACCACTTCTTCACACTTCTACCAAGACCACTTCTACCGCCACGTTTTTTATATTTATCCAGTTGGTGTATAAGAGGGTTCGATGCCAAAGAAAGCATTCTGTATTTAGATGTATAAAGCTGGAAGTGTTTCTTTAGATCCTTCAACCGCTCTCACATATTTTGCAGCGACAGCACAGGATCAGCAGTTCTAAAGTCATGTTTGGATGTAGGACAAGTGATGTGTCTTCTATTACAGGTTCAGTGTCAAAAACACCTACAACCCATTTGATACAAAGTTTTATCTGTCTGTCTGCAAAGAAAAAAAACAGCTTGCGTTCCTGAATCTACAGCGTGACTCATACCAGTGCAAATAGTACAGAAACAAAAGACTCTGGTTCTTTTAAGCAAATAAAAAACCCTTATGAGTAAGTCAGGTCAGTTACTAAATCTAAGGAATAAAAATGGAAAGGAAAATTGTAAGTGTTTGGAAAGGCATAAAGATAGACAGAATTTTCATTTTCGTTTGAACAATTTCCTCGATCTGACTCATTCACTGAATTATTTGAATTGTTCATCGAATCATCAAAGATCCAGAATTATTAGGAGGAATCAGAATCTGAACCACAATCATTAGTTCACAAACAGCACTATATAAAATTCCGACAATTCACAGAGTGCATTTTCCAATGGAAACAGACTTAGAATGTTCATATTTTGCTTATTAATGGTTGTCAAACAAATTATAGTTATGAATGTGCATATTTTTGACTTTGAGGTACTTTTTTCCCCAGGATTTCTCTGAATAATCAAAATTTAATCTTATTCGAATCCATGTTGGCATGAAAAAGAAATATCTAATGAATAATTGATAAACGTCTTGTTTACAAGCACACTAGTGAGGAGACAAGCCAACATGTTGTTTTGTGGGCTTAGGTAAGTTAATAAGTAGGTTGTTTAATGTTGTCCAGGCGAGATGAGAGCTCAAACAGAGAGGACCAGCTGTTCTTCATCTCTCATTCTTTCTGAAGGGTATAATACTGGGACAAGGACACATGCATACATGCAAACACACACACAGCACTGCTGTGTGCATGCTGGTAGCATTGACCACGTCTGCCTGATTTATGGAGAGATATTGAGAGACACGCTTGGCTACTTGGGGTGTGTGTGTGTGAGTGTGCGTGCGTGTGTGTATTCATTTCTCACACTCTTTGAGATCCCGCACCAGCGTTTTAAGGTCAATGTATACTGAAATTCCAAAGAAGTCAGTGAAAAATCAACACTGCTAGCTAATCCTTCACATAGTTTCCTAAACAATAATCTCAAGACATTTAAGAAAACTATATAAAAACTGGAAGACAAAAACAGGAACGTTGCCATTTTTAAAGCAATACAAAACGTCATCGCAGCATTTCTCGTGTGAGTCGGAGATGATGAGTCAGTCTGAGAGCTGCGCTCTGTGGGTCTTCATTGAATTCATGTGCTTTGAGTCAAAGTCCCTTTAAGGCAAGTCGGTCCACTCGGTGGCCATCTTGGCCATGCCACTGGGTAGCTATTATTTATCTATAGGCAATAGGTCATCCGGGGTGCCCTCTACTGGTAGCATCCATTCATAGAGTCAGAAAATTTGCATAATTATTCAAAATACATTGAAAGCAGAAATAAGCCATCATTCAAAAGTTTGGAATAAGTATGTTTTCTTAATGTCTTTGAAATAAGTCTCTTATGGTCCACAAGGCTGCATTTATTTGATCAAACATCCAGTAAAACAGTAATATTGTGAAATATTACTTCAATTTAAAATAACTGTTTTCTATTTGATATATTTCAGAATTTAATTTATTCATGTGATGTCGTTATTTCAGTTTTCAGTGTCACATGATCCATCAGAAATCATTCTAATATGCTGATTTGGTGCTTAAGAAACATTTCTTATTATTATCAATGTTGAAAACAGCTTTGCTGCTTAATATATTTTGTGGAAACTGTAATTTTTTTTTCAGGATTCTTTGATGACTATAAAAAACAGCATTTATTATCACTCTCACTGATCAATTCAATGTGTCCTTGCTGAATACAATGATTAATGTCTTCAAAAAAGTCTTGACCCAAACCTTTGAAAGATACTGTATGTGAATGTACTATACAGTGAATCTCAAATAACAAGAAGACTCTTGCTACTCCCAATAAAAACCATGTGAAGACATAAAACATGAACTGATAAAGAGTCACTGGATGAATGGAAATAAACTTATGTAGTGATGTTGTCAAAACATCACCATCATTTAATTAGGTGGCCAATGAGCGACTGCCCGGTTAGGGTATATAAGTTGGTTGGTTCTGCCTCTTGGAATGCGTCATGGTTGAAAGCCCGCCCCTTCCCTCCTGTTATGGCCTTCCATGTGTGTTGTTAGGCTGCTGAGATATACTGGGTGCGTGCGTTGTTTGCTCTCAGGTAAGTAATGACGTATGCGTAGTCTCGGCAACGGGGCCACTTGCTACACTTAGAAATGAGCAAATAGTTTAAATGAACAGCAAAAGTGGATGATGGTCACAGGATGTGATCTTACTGTGAGTATACTGTGTGTGTGTGTGTGTGTGTGTGTGTGTGTTTTACCTTTCTGAAGGCTCATGTCCACCATGTGAGGTTCTGCTAGCTCCAGATAGAAGCTTTTGTTTTTTTCATACTCCTCATCATCGATGATTTTAACCTGTATGGTTTTACTGAGAGAGGAAGAGAGAGAAACACAACATCAGGGGTCACTGATCAAGTGAGGGGTCAGTGGGCTGTCCTGAGGTCAGAGGTCAAACAGTTCATGCAAACACACTACATCATCTTTCTGTGATTCATATCCCTTGCTGTCTTGCACCATCAATCATGTTAGCTGCAAGATAAAACAGTGGTATATGGGTTTCAGGTAAATCAAAACTGTCTGTAGCATTGTTAAAAATAATACATTAATAATAATTAATAATAATATTAGTATTCAAAATAAAGTTAGTATTTTAATTATATTTCTCAATAGTGAGGTTGCAACACTGCTATTTGAAATCATGTAGTTTTACGGTTGAAAAGTTGTTTTATTAAGTAGTTTTATAGGGCTATGTACGTTTGACAAACATTTCATTTTCCCTGATAATATTTCAGCAGTAGGCACTACATCATTTTACATCTATAATGAAGGTCTTTAGGTTCAACAACTGTATGTGAAAAAAGCTTCCAAATAACTTCTTCCTCATTGAAGAATTCTGAGAAAAAAAAAATATCACGGTTTCCACAAAATTATTAAGCAGCACAACTGTTTTCAGCATTGATGATAATAAGAAATGTTTATTGAGCACCAAATCAGCATATTAGAATAATTTCTGAAGGATCATGTGGGACTGAAGACTGAAGTAATAGCTGCTGAAAATTCAGCTTTGCATCACAGGAATAAATATCATTTAAAAATATATAAAAATGGAAAACACTTCTTATAATTCACAACATTCTTGTTTTACTGTATTTCAAATAAATGATCAAATAAATGCAGCCTTGTTAAGGAGACATCTTTCAAAACCATTTCAAATTTTGCTGACTGCAAACTTTGAATGGTAGTACATGTACATAGATAAAAACAGCCAATACATTTTTTCTGCTGTCTTTTGAAGATGTTTTTGGTTCTTCAATAAACATGTATTAGATCAAATTATATGAAGAATTATAAAGTATCCTAAATGTAGCAAGCTACTTCTCTAAAGGCTAGCTTTCAACTTAGCTTAGCTAATTTCTCTATAGAGTAGTTGCTATCCTAGCTAGCAACACAGCGGAAGCCCAACATTGGTAAACTGTTGATCAGCCTACATCAGAATCAGAATCAGAATCAGAATCAGAATTAGCTTTATTCGCCAGGTGTGTGCAAACACACGAGGAATTTGTTGTGTTTTTTTTTTTAAGGTGCTCCTGGTACATACATACATACATGAGTGTTTATTTAAAGAATCAATCTCTTAACAACTCTTATCTGTAACATCGATTTCTCTCTCACACTCTGTCACTCTTTCATTGCTAAATTCTCAGCATGTGTGTGTGTGTATTTATAACTCAGCATGTGATTGATTTTGACCTGGTTTCTCTGTGACTGTGAGTAACACCTGTTTCAGCTGTGTTTCAATGAGAGTTTCTGTATGTGTGTGCGCGTGTTCGACCTGTGAACATCCCCCTCCCTTCATTCGGATCAGTTACTCACAGTACAGCTGTCCGCAGACCCACGCCACTTCATCTCTCTCTAATATGTCTTTCAGTCTAACATACTCATGTTCTCATTCCCTTCTGCTCTGCCCTGTTTCCCATCCATTAGCGGACACATTATACTCAAATGTCCTCTCAGCCTCTCTCACTCACTCAGAGAGACGGCGCGCAAAGAGAGACTGTGACAGGGCTGCATGTTTGGTCTGTGATCTGATGTAGGTCATTCCTACCATGCAGTACATATTCGTGTCTCCATCATATATAAAGGAATGGTACAATTAGCTGAATTTACTCCAGTCTTCAGTGTCACACGATTCTTCAGAAATCATTCTAATATGCTGATTTGGCACTCAGGAAACATTTCTTAATATTATCCATTATGTTGAAAACAGTAGTGCAGCTTAATATTTTTGTGGGAACTGTGAAACATTTTTTCCAGGATTCTTTGATAAATAATAAGTTCAAAAGAACAATGTATTTATCTTTTGTAACTATATAAGCCTTTACTGTTACTTTTCATCAATTTAATGCATATTTCCTGAATAAAAGTATTAATTTCTTTAAGGAAAAAAAACATAAGTATAATAAAAAAGGTCTGTATTGCTTATATTACAAGTCACTTAAAGCCTTATAATAGCTTTTCGTATAAGAAAATAACGACAGAAGTTTAATTTGATACTGAACTAATAATTATAAAATATTTTATATCAAAATGTCACAATTAAGTGAAGTAAGGGTAAACCTTCATTTTCCGTCTTTTACAATATCACATGTTCAGTGCTTTTTGTTTATAATTTGTTCTAAAAGGTTTAATGTATAAAGTAATTTATAAAATGTCAGAAACTTGGATTGCAAAGAGCTTAACTGTCATTCTGAAAATATAAAAGCACATTTAATGTACACATTTCTATCGTTTTCTATTCATATAAGTCTCTAAATCCTTTCAAAACAGCCCGGTAATGGCATTATCCTCAAAGACATTACATTACATCCAGTTTTTATAAAATTACAGAAATCAGAATGGTTTCAGGAAAAAAAAACAAATATTAAAATTAAGTTTCACTAGGTCTTTATTTCCATTCTGCTAGACATTCTGTTTTCTTGCCATTGTGTATGCTGATTTTGACCGGACTGGTAAAGGATGTATAGAAATACTTTCAAAGTCTGGTAAAGACGTAAATTTATAAAGTTAAACAAGTGCTACATAAAAGGAATGACACGTGTGCTTTGGTTAACAATCTCACACCCATTTGCCTGGGCCAAGACGTGTGTGTGTGTGTGTGTGTGTGTGTGCGCGTGCATGCTAAAAAGTATAGAATTTACAGTAAACAAGATTTATTCCTGTATAGTGAAAAATCCCTACAGTGGCTCCTCCACCTGCTCCGAGTTGTAGTGACTCAGCAGACTGCCTGAGCTTACCACAAATGAATCTAAACCTTGCACATGTGCTCGAAATCAGAAAAGACAATGTTCCTCCTCTGTTCTTTTCCCACTCCGGGAATTAAATGGAATCTTAAGCCTGAAACACACTTTCACGCGCCACTGCATTTCGAAATGAGATCTAGGATGACCAGATGTTCCATTTACCTGAGACAAACCCAGTTTCACAAGGTGTATCCAAGTGCCTTGAAAATGCACTAAAAAGCATAAATACCGCAAAGTTTCAGCTGTCTACACTCTCTGGTATCATTTGTGATTCTCAATAGAATGACACTGCAGAACTGTTACGTTGCCATTGCAAGCTGATTTGCCGATACCTAGAACATCTATCAGCAAATCTGCTTGGAATGTATCTGGTTGCCATAACAACTCGAGGTGCTCTGCCATCCCAGAAAGTACTAGCACTAGAATGTTAGATGTGGATTTGAATTGAACAGTTTTAGGTTCCAATGTTGTTTAAAAATTATTTTTAAAGCAATGAGCATAAAGTACTATCAAGACAGAGAATAGGTGTTCTCAGCATGTATTTGTTGAATACAGCCACAACACGCAGCCACTATTTTACATGCTTTTAGATATCACATTCATCAATCTCCACTCCATTCCCCAACTCCTTCTGCTCCTCACGGTATCATCAAAAAAAACACACACACACACACACACACACACACACACACACATTCCCACTGCCCACATATTCACATTGCCCAACAGGCTCTTCCCTCTTTTAGAAACCTGTTAGATAGAGAATCTGTGATGCTTTAAGACAGTCCAGTCAACTCCATCCTCAAAACCCAGAGCAAACAACATCCATTCAAATCCAACATCATTAAATCAAGATATCTCACGTTTGTTATTTCTATCTGCACTAAAGCTGCCCACTTCAGCCAAGGTAATTTTGTTGCACTGACAAAACACAACCAATATATTTCTTAGTAGACTTGACTACTAATGGTATCTATTCTACACATGGGAGAAATATTAGAGAATGGTGCTCTGATCTCAAATTCTTTTGTTTACACTGCCCCAATCCTTCTGCACTCATTTCATACACTCATTTTGCAAGTAATAAAACTGAGCAAACTGTGTAGTCAATATCCAGTATATTTACCTTGGATAAAGTCAGCACAATGCCAAGAGACAATACAGTAGTAGTTACAGTGGAAAGAAAAGATGAAAAACATTCAAGTCCATTCATCTTGACATGGTGTGGATAGCGTGAGGAACATGCATTCAGGACCACTTACTCATTCACTCAATCACCATTCATACATAGTGAATTCCACATGTGAGTGGAAATAAATGAATTCAGACACAGCTGTAATAATTAAGCTTGGCGTTACAGTCATACGGTTTCCTGAACGACAAAAAAAACACAAAAAAAAACACTGGAAGCCTGACTTGTCTATTTAGACTAAAAAAATTTAATCATACAAACCACATATACAGCAGATGAGGATTGGCAAATGTTGTAATTCGTATGCTTTTTGATTGCTTTTCAGATTAAAAAATAAGGGCTTCAATCGCATACATCATTACAAAAAATATTTTTACTCCCTGTCTGAGCACAGCTTTACACCATGTCCTAACCAAGCGTTATACAGCGACAAATGATAAAATCTTGCTCACATTAATGAGAATTTGTGTCCTGAACAGCTGTGCCCACGATAAGCAGTGGGACATTCTGTGTTCAAATTTCCTAATTAATTTATTCGTACAAATCAAAACCTGAGACATTTCAGCGCTCACAGAGTTTAGTGCCATCTCTAATCAAACACACCGGCTAATCAAGGGTTCCGCTGAAAATTATGGCTGCATCTGAAAACTTAGGCAGCTGACTTGCTGCCTCGCTGCCGTACGAGGTAATGACTTTGCAGGCAGCGTTTTTGCACGAAGGCACCTCATGAAACTGATTTCGGACAGGCTTCTGAGGCAGCATAAAGGTTTAATGATCTACAACAAAATAGAACGAGTTTTTGTGAAAACTAAACGAATATTTAATTACTATAATACTGATTTCTCGCTAGAAATAACATCAAAAGTGCAAAAAGTT